CAAAGCCCACCTGCCTTGACCATCTAAGCAGAGTAGCACCAGCAAAGCCCACCTGCCTTGACCATCTAAGCAAAGCAGCACCAGCAAAGCCCACGGCACGGGCGTGCTGTGTGCCTGGCCCCGGCCTGAGCCCTCTGCACATCCTATCTGGTGTGAGCCTCCCTCTACCTAAGGCAGCTTCTGTTACGTGTGCACCTGTTACAGATGAAAAGGCACAGTGAGTGACGAGCAGTTCAGTGGCAGAGCTGGAGCAGACCCCACGGTCCATTGTCATGGCCTCCACACCAAAATGCATCTTTTCTTTTTCCTTTTTAAAAACCTTTATATGACAGGTGTAGGGGTGCAGGTTGAATTCCATTCCATGTGTGTGTCATGCAGTGGTGGGTCTGGGCTTGTGGTGTAGCCGTCACCCAAGTAGTGTACATTGTACCCATGGGTAATTTTTTACCACTCCCCTGCCCACTGTCCCCCCTTGCGAGTCTCTGATGTGTCTGGGCAGCCACAGTTGGGCTCCCGTGTGTAAGTGAGAACAGGTGGCACTTATTTTGCTGTCCCCATGTCCCTCTGACATTCACTCTTACCACTGAGCGTGCTCCACAGTGTGTACACACACACGCGTCTTCTCAGTACACCCGTCAGGCCCTGCATTAGGTTCTTTGCTGGGAGTGACAAAACAGCTGGGGACACAGGACGTGAGGAAAGCGGAAGAGGCTGGGGACAGCTGCTGGGAGTCAGCAGGGAGTCTGTTAGGAAGAAAGGTTAAGGGTTACTGGGCGGTGCCAAGGGCTGGATGCAACCAGGCCACATGTCTCTGTAGTGGGTTCAACGCTGGGAGAGGCACAGAGCATGCACTCACCTGTCGGGCCTGCTTAGATGTGGCCCTGGTTCTAAAAGTTGCTCCTTTGGCAAAGTAGCAATGAATCTACACATATACCAGAGTTTTTCCTAATAATCCACCCAAATCAAATGTGTTTATATTTGTCCTCACCAATGTCCCTACTCACAGGTACTGGACATCCTGACCCAAGGCTTTTGAGGTCAGAGCACTTGTTTGGACTTGATGACCTGCCAAACTCTTCACATCACCACTGAGGGCAGAAGAAACATCACTTCAGCTACAGCTAGAAGAACTAAAGGCATGCCCTCCGGAAGAGCTATGGAAAAGGAGGTATGAATGAACAGAATACAGCATGTGCTTGCTGCGGAATATTCCTCAGATTGAAAAGGAATGAAATTCTGATACAAGCTATGACACGGACCAACCTTAATAAAATACCAAGTGAAACACGCCAGAAACAAAAGGCAAATACGGTGAGATTCCACGTGTTTGAGGTGCCTGGAGCAGCCAGACTCAGAAACAGAAAGGGAAATGGCAGGTGCCAGGGGCTGGGGCTGGGGGCACAGTGGGGTGACTGTTTAGTAGGGAAACGGTGGGTGCCAGGGGCTGGGGTCACGGTGGGGTGACTGTTTAGTGGAGACGGAGTTTTAGTTCATGATCATGGAAAACTCTGGAGATAGATACTAGTGAGTATCACACAACAATGTGAATGTACTTAATGAATTTTACACTTAAAATAGTTAAAATGGTAAATTATATATATGTATATTTTACTACAAAAAAAGTTAAGGAAAATGGAGTGAGACTGAAGGGCTGGTGGCATCTAAGAAGAGAAACCGACTTTGTGTCTCGGACGGTTCAGGTGTAACAGACCCACGAAGGGAGGCAGGCAGCTAGGAGGGACCAATGCCCTGCCTGTTCCCCCAGTTTACAGGACAAAGTGAGTTTTCCAGATTGATCACCATGCTGCTATTTAACTGCAGCGGGGACCTGGGGTTTTGCCCACCCTGCTTCCGATAACAGAGACTGAGGAACTTTCAGACATGAGGACGTCTCTAAGTAGTTACCCAGCTCCTTCTAGGCACAGATAATTTGAGGTCAGGAAACGAGTGTGATTCGTATAGCCTAGACCCTCAGAAAGGAACAGGCCCCTGGAAAGTGTTTCTTACAGAGTGAGGGAATGTGGATGAGTGGGTGGAGCACGGAGACTGATGTCCTCTTGAGAGCACTGTACCTGAGCAGGAGGTAGCGCTACCTAAAAACACTAGCACAGGGTAAGGCGCTGTTCCCAGTACAAACAGGACAGAAAAGGCTCGAAACCTCCTGTAGGTCACGGTTTATTTGGCATGATCTGCTTGCTCGGGGAGTTGAAGGTCATTTTCACTGCTGACCTGGGAGGCTCTGATTTACTGTTTTCTTCCCAGTGATCTTGGAAAGGGTAGGGGTTGGGCCTTTCTGCCTATCAAGTTCCTCAGTTCTTACATGTATGTAAGAGTGATTGAACAAAGAAATTCATTATTCAGAAGGACACTGGGTTTATTTGGAATAAAAATACACTAGAAAAAATAGTTATTTCTTTTAGTGATTTTTCTAGTTCCAAAACCCCTCTAGTTTTAGACAGATCAACTGTGCAGCAGGAAATCTAAGGTGAGGCATTAAGAGCTCCTCTAGCCCAATCACATCTGATGGCTGATGAATTATTAAACATGTTATTGTTCAAGTTTTATACACTTGCCTCCTACAGATGAGTATTTTAATTTACGATGCACTGAGAGCAGTCAAGAATGTGTCTTGTATTTATGACTTAAGAAGCTATATTTAAAATTAAGACTTGTATTTATATAACTATGATGGTAACAGGAAATTGGAAACCGAACAGATGGCTATTTATAAAAACTGATATTTCAGGAAGGGACTTTAAAGACACCCTTTCCAATTCTTTTGTGAACTGGGAAACATAAAATTACTTTAAGAAGAATTAAGTTTTTTCCCAGCTGCACACCCGATTACACCCAAGGGAAAACACTTCATAATTGTGAGACTTTCAGCTCCTCGAGTTTAGATGGATTGCCTTTCAGAATGATTTTTCTAGTCAACATTATAAGAAATCTCCTAGCTGATAAAAGGCCAAACATTTATATTCTTCTCCAGAGCGGAGTAAATCTTTATGTATTAACACAGATGGTGTTCCAGGACTTGCCATACTAAGCAGAAAGGAATAATTCATTGTCATCATCCATGTACTGTACAAATACGAAGTTAAAGTAGAATTTCTGCTGATGGTCAAGACTGTAGAGTCCACGTTGTGATTAATCCTAAGAATATAAACTCCTGCATCTTTAGTAGAAAGTGTACTTCTCAACGTCCTCACGGAGTTTTCAGTTTGTCTGTGTCTTGCTCTTTTTGACTGCAAAGTGCAAAAGATTCCTGAACGAACTGCCTGCACATGGGGCACTGCTGGAAGCAGCCGGCGCAGCCGTCACACAGGCAGGCGTGTCTGCAGGGCAGGAGCACCCAGTTCACCGCCCCGTTCTGGCAGACAACACAGTCCCTGCCGTTCTCTTCAGGCGGCTCCACTTCACCTTCAGACAGTCCTGCCTTTTCCAACAAATTTCTGTCTGTGTTTTTTTCTTCTGGAGAAGAATTGCTGGAAGGAGTGGAATTGTTATTTGCAGACATGAAAAGCTGCTGAAAATGAAAGAAACAAGTTTAAGGATTATTATATTACTAAATAACAATGACTCCTTAAATCTAGGGGTCATAAGAGCTTCTCGAAATTTATGAATTAGCAAAATGAATTGCAAACTGTAATTACTAACTGAAAAATATAATTATCTCTCCATAAATGGCCATTCTTTGAAATTCTATAAACAAAAGAGACAGAGAGGAGACTACAGAGAACAACTTACCTTGAGATCATGAAATTGGCCTTGAGCTAAGAGCAAATATTGATACAATATTCTGCAGGGAAGTTTATAAGTCTTATCAGGAATGTGGATTACGGACACCATGGAAATCTAAAACAAAAAAATTGAACACTGGTCAATATACTTCACAAACATGCAAAAAAATCCTTCTCAAAATAAGAGGGTGACAAATTACAAAATAGACAATAATCTGTATAAATCACAGTCACTGCAGAGGAATCAATTACTGACATATTTTTGGCAGTTATTTTAATTGTACTCAAATTTATAAATTTAATGGGATGCAAATGAAAATGCCAGTGAGCTTGTTTATAGAGCTGTTTGCATTGACTCTAAAATTCTCATATAGCAAAATAAACATATAAGAATAGCTAGGCAAACACTGAAAAAACAGACCCGGGAGGGGACTAGGTAAGTCAGATTTTAAAACACACTACAAAGCCTCTAAAAACAAAACTCTGTGCCGCTGGTGCACGGGTAGACAGAAGATGAAGCAGGACACAGTCCAGAAACAGGCCCCGTAACGGTGAAAATACAGTGAGGTGTCATCTCAAGTCACCGCGCAAAGGAAGTCTTCTTTTTTTTTTTAGTAGAGACAGAGTCTCGTTTTATTACCCTCAGTGGAGTGCTGTGGCATCACACAGCTCACAGCAACCTCCAATTCCTGGGCTTAGGTAATTCTCCTGCCTCAGCCTCCCGAGTAGCTGGGACTACCAGCGCCTGCCACAACGCCCAGCTATTTTTTTGTTGCAGTTTGGCCGGGGCCGGGTTTGAACCTACCACCTTGGGTATATGGGGCCGGCGCCCTGCCCACTGAGCCACAGGCGCCACCCAGGAAGTCTTTTTAATAAATAGTATTGGGACATCTTGGTAACTATTTTGGAAAAAAATATACAATTACCTGCATTCCTCATGCCACGTCCAAGAACAACCCCCAGAAGCATAAGAGATTAAATGCAAAAGCAGAACTGCACAGACACTCAGAGAAAATGGGCAGGTTCCAGCCTCAGTGTCGAGAAAGAAAGACTCCAACTGTGACTCAACACAGAGGCAGATACATTCGATACAGTTAATTATATAAACTGTACTGGTGTTCCAGTACTTGCCAGAATAAAAACCTGCATGTCAAAAAAGCACCATAAATTAAGTCAAAACACATGACAGATTGGAACCAAATACAACTTCTGTCACAGGTCACAATGAATATTCCTTATTCATGAAGAACTTTTTATCTCTCTTTTTAATTAAAAATTTAATAAACACACGCCATACAGTTAATAAAGTATAGAGTAACATGCCAGCAAATGAGCCCTGCTCAGTTCTGCTTCTGTGGTTCCCCACGTCCCCGCCTCAAAGGCAGCAACTCTCATCGATTTGTTGTGTATCCTTCATAAAAAGTAATAAAAAATGACCAAAATACTATAGAAAAATGGGTAAAAGACATGAACAGACATTTCCCAAAAACATATGAACATGTCCCTTAACCAAGAGATGTTTAACTAGAATTAAACTGCACTGTTTCTCACTCACTGGACTGATAAAAATTCCGAAGCTTGTCCATACGTTCTACAGAGATACACTCCCACATATTGCTGGTGGAGATTTATTTTAAAGGTACAATTCCGGGGGGGAATTTGGCATCATCCAAAGAAACAACATGCGTCTCCCCTTTGACATCCAGGCACACGTGCACAGGCTCCTCAGTGCACAGGCAGCTGTCCCTGCGGGGCACCAGAAACCCCGGTGTCAGGCAGAGAGGCCGGGCCCGTCACTATGGCAGTTTACACCGTGCACAGAGGTGCGCTGCACAACTGTGGAGATGAGATGTCAGGGTGGTCTCTGGAAAGTGATCTTTTTTCCAGGAGATATGCAGGTCATTATGAAAATTTTGAGATACACAAAATTAAGAAATGTACAATCCATGTGGAAGAAAACAAATGAAACCCTCCCAGCAACACCGATAAGCCGAGCAGGCTGAACCCCGCCTGGGGGAGTCAGGAAGCTCGCGGCCGACTGCTGCTCAGATATGAAATAAACCGTAACACCACCTGTCTCAAAACTTTCATACTATGGAGTAGAAAAGAACAAAGTGTGAAAGAGCACGGACCGCACAGATGGGGTGCGGCCTTCATGTGAGAAAGCAAAGAGAAGTGAGAAACCCAGGGAGGACAGGCCAGCACACAGTGGTCTGGTTACTCTACTGGATCCATAAGGGCTGAGTCAGTGGGAACTGAGCGGACGGAATCCCAGAGGTAGCCCCTGAGTATATCTCTTTGTATGGTTTCCTGACCTTTGAGAGAACCCATCTAATTCATGGACACAATTTGGCGATAAGCCCTCAGTCTTGGCGGGAAGCAGGGAGAAGGCAGTTTAAGCTCCAAAATAATTATATTCAGTAATGAATCATAAGCCACTATGGTGAATAAAACTCACGAAGCCACAGAGACAACAGACAAACAGATGAAAGGGAGAAAGGAATTCTGAGGCCCCAACGGGGAGGGCTGGGGCTGGGAAATAAGCACCTTGCAACCCTTGTGGTAAAAATAAAATCTAGCAAGAATCACCAATGGGGGCTTAGTGCCTGTGGCTCAAGCGGCTAAGGAGCCAGCCACATACACCTAAGGTGGCGGGTTTGAATCCCCAGCCCAGGCCCGCCAAACAACAATGACGGCTGCAACCAAAAAATTGCCAAGTGTTGTGGCGGGCGCCTATAGTCCCAGCTACTTGGGAGGCTGAGGCAGGAGACTCGCTTGAGCCCAGGAGTTGGAGGTTGCTGTGAGCGTGATGCCAGGGCACTCTACCCAGGGGGATAGCTTGAGGCTCCGTCTCAAAAAAAAAAAAAAAGAATCACCAATGGGTATCAAATCCAGGGAAATTTTTTCATAAAAAGCAGGATATTTACATGGTATTAAAGTGCCTCCCCACAGACCAAGGGAGAGAAAAACCAGCACAGTGAAGAAATTAGATAACTTTAGCTGAGGGCTCACAATCAACATCCTGATGTTGCCCGTGATGTTCTGGGGACCACGTCACCACCCGTGCAGCCCCCGGGCTGCAAACGCCTGGCTTCCACCTGATCATGAGAAACACTGGACAAGCAAAATGAGAATGTTCTACTTTACCACAAGGCTGTGTGACTATATTCTGCAAAAAAGCTAACGTCATAAAAGACAAATGTGAAAATGTTCCAGATTAAAGGAGGGTAAAGATACATGACAAACACGAAATCCTACTCCAGCCTAGACCTTGCACTGGAGAGCGCGGTGTGAAGGGCACTGTTAGCTCAGCTGACAGACCAGAACACAGGCGACAGATTGGTTAACATGCATCAGGGTTAAATTTATAAGACTGGTCACTATGCTCTGGTTACATCAGAAACCATCCTTCATTAGGAGACATGCACAGTATCTAGGGGTAAAGAATCAGCGTGTATACAATTTAAGTTCAAATCATTCATCTAAAATACATGTGATGATCTATTATATGGTAATATGTTTATGTGTCTATGGACAATTAACAAAGCAGATGGCAGGAGGGTTAACAACAGGTGATCCGGGGAAGGACATATGGGTGCTCTTTTACTTTTTTATCTTTGCAAATTTTAAAATTATGTACAAATAAAAAGTTTTAGCTACTGTGACCATAAAAACACAAGGTTCTTTATAAGTTTATAAAGATTTATTAAGTCAGTAATGGCTTTGTAGACTACATAAAAATGACAGGATTGGCAGAACTGGTAACGTCATCACCTCATACTGACAATCCTGTGACTTGACTGAATGTTAAAAGCCTCTGAAGCTATTCTCATGCTAGTTATAAATATATACGTAGCTGTAGGTGCACACTTGATGTGGAAAAATGTTCAAATATACTGCTGAATAAAAGAAGGGTACAGGTGGGGCACCAGGGCAGCACCAGCAATGCCAGCACTCTGGGAAGCTGAGATGGGAGGATCCCTTGAGCTTCAAAGTTCAACACCAGCCTGAGCAAGAGTGAGATCCCATCTCGACTAAAAAAAGAAAAACTAGCCGGGTGTCCTGGTGGGTGCCTGAAGATCCAGTTACTTCGGAGGCTGAGGCAGAAGGATCACTTGAGCCCAGAAGGTTGAAGTTGCTTTGAACTAGGCTGATTCCACAGCCCTCTAGCCTGCGGGACAGAGCAAGACTGTCTCCAGGACAAAAAAAATTACAGAATAGTATACAATTTTATCCTTTTTAAAACAAATTAACACACATACCCATCTGGGAAGATACAAATCCTCCCAATGGTTACAGACGACAGGTGTATACTCTTCTCCTTTTGGCTTATCTAGACTTTCTAATTGCTTTCCTGCCATAAAAGGGTGTCACTTGAATTATGCAGGAAAAAACACACTAATGTAATTAAAAAAATTCAAGATCAAAATCTTATAGTAACCATTCTTACTTTCTTTTTTCTATCTAGATCAACACACTGGCTCCTGACTACACGAAGTCTAAGTTTTGCTGTTACAATAGGAAGTCTAATTTTTTCTTAGAGTTCCTGACCCCCAGATAGAAAAACCACCATATTCCAAAAGAAATATTAAATATTCTGTTTGCTTTTAAAATTATAAACAGAAAAAAAATACATACATATATATATATATA